AACCGAGAATATTTACAAGTACCATAACCAAAATGATACATATATTTACACACTGATTTTTGACCCAGAAACAAAAACGGAAACTTTATCCTATTAATCCATGTAAGGTAATGTAATGGAAACAGGGTAATGCTCTGTGTGTGCGTGTATTAGAGAGAGAGAGAGAGAGAGAGAGAGAGAGAGAGAGCTACGCCATGGAGGAGAAGATGTGACACAGAAGTCGACGCCGGGAAGTTGGTCCTTGATAGGGTGTGGTTGGAACTCATCCACCTTTTGTGCTCCACCTCCTCCAGCCATTGTTGGAGAGAAAGCAAAAGGCTAATGGAGCTCACGCTCTCAGACGCAGAGTCTCTATGCTTTCTTCAACTTCTGTATGTAATGTTACTCTGCGGTGGGGTGTGTTGTCTCTCTTGTCTAAAAGTGTGACATGAGTTGAGGGGTTGAAGGGGTACGATTTCGTCGATGTGAGTCTTTTATATTCACTAACCGGAGAGAGTGCGGGATTAGGCAGATGCGTTATGACTTAATTCCATCAAAAATTAAATTTATCACCAATTACATTTCTTTCAATTCAACAATGTCTTCTATCAGGTTTTACTCTAAAATTACTTTGTACCTCTCTAAAAACATGGATTTGACTCATATTTATCCTATCAACATCAATATAAGTGGCACCTTTATTAAAGTTGTGGTAAGTAAATGTGGTGTAAAATAAATATTAGCACTCATTTTTTAAGCATTTCCTTGTCCAAAATATATATTTATAATATGTAGACACTCATGTTGTCCAATTATCTTATAATTCAAGGATTTAAGAATGATTATTTGTGCACCTGAAGTCTTATGTTCGATTAACCTCTCTCAAAATTTTCTTGTATAAAAGAAAGGATAATAGAGACTCGAGCCAACATCAAAACTCTTGCAACTTTGTATGTGTGCACAAAATTACAATTTACAGAGACAACTGTTATCATATCTATGAAATACATGCATGTAGCATTATTTTTTGGTAAAGAGCAAAATTGACACAACATAACTAAGCCTCACACGTTTTTTGATAAAACCAAGTGCTTTTTTTGTTCCACGAACATTTGAATTGAACCTCGTATGTTGTACTCCTATAATGCCCCTACTATGTAATATTATTAAAAGGATATTTGATTTTCCAGAAAATATTTTCAAGATTCTCATGATTAATTTTTCTGTTGTGGACATAACAAGCCTGAATTACAGAAGTTGTACTAGTTTTTGCTTCAAGAGCAAGAACTTGAATTTTTTCTAATTTTATGTGGTTTTGGCAGCTGAGACTAAGAGCCCTACAGAGCAAAACCAAAACCATATCTCAGTGACAGACGAGCTGCAGGTTGCAGACTTTGCAGCAGCAGCAGCCTATCATATCCTCTGATCAGGTCAAAAAGAATATTGGACTTTTACCACCAAAAAAAAAAAAAAACCATGTTCCTCTTGTATAATCCAGTAATTAACCAGTTCTTAATTTTCTCATAAACAGAGTCATTAGCCATTAACTTTTGGTTTTTTGCCATTTTTTTGAAATTTAGTCAATTTTTTTGGTATTATTTTGTTCACCCAAGTCACCCAATATCCTCTGATCAGGTCAAAAAGAATATGGGACTTTTACCACCAAAAAAAAAAAAAAAACCATGTTCCTCTTGTATAATCCAGTAATTAACCAGTTCTTAATTTTCTCATAAACAGAGTCATTAGCCATTAACATTTGGTTTTTTGCCATTTTTTTGAAATTTAGTCAATTTTTTTGGTATTATTTTGTTCACCCAAGTCACCCAACACAGTCAATAACCAAGAAATTTTACACAAGGAACACATTGATTTTTGCCAATTTTGGGTATTATTTTGTGCATATATAAATATTTTTGAGACATTATCGAGTTGATGAGATAAAAAATGGTGGTTGGCTTGCCAAAGAAACCGTCCCCATTTAAGGACTGAAAAAAAGGGGCAGTACTCTTTCTGTGAGGACTGCAAAAGTGGCTTAACCCTTTTTTCAAACCTGCAAATGTTTGTTTATTTTGTCCAAAACTTGTTCTACTCTTGGAATTTCTCAATTCTCATTGGTTAGATTTTTGTGTATGGATGGATGGATGGAGAGCAAGTAAAGAACTACAGTCAAACAAGAAGGTGCACCAACCCTAATGCTCTTCCTTTTCCCAAAGTTGGGTTTATGTTTGGTGAACAATAATCCAAGTTAATTACCAACCCTCTTAAAGAAGAAGCTCAGAACATTCTTCGGGTACCAAGAAATGCCACATTTGTCTTTGTTTAGTATCACAAGCTTTGATATTGGCAATTTGGGTTAGGACTTTAATTTAATCTAGTCATAAAGTCATTGGATTTTGCCAAGTGCATGATATATAGACACATAGCTAAACTTACTTTCATACTTTTTTTTAAAACACAAGTGGTAGTCTAACTACAAGGAGGAATAGAGCTTCTCACACACACAGTGCCATAGAGATTCGAACATAAGACCACTAGTCTGCAAATCAATGGCTTTTTTTCACTGGGTTATATCATGTCGAGAAAGTTACTTTCATACTTGATGTGGATGGAAGGAAAAAATATATATAAATTAGGTTTTGAGTGGAAGTTTTGTTTTAGTGAGCATCTAAATACACTCAAAGTTTAAATCAGTACACCCATGCTTAGGCCCAGACAAGAAGCACAATGTGATGTATATATTTTTTTTTTTGTGGGCTTGTGCAAATAGAAGTGCACAAAGAAAAATTGCTTAGAAATAACCCACACCACACACACAAAAGGAAAAATTAATTTAAAAAATCTGAAAATGATTGACTGTCCAATGCAAAAAGATACTTCTTTGGCTTTCAAGCCAAGAAACCGAGTTGATTTGTTCAGAAAATGATATGAGTACCCATCCTTTCTTACCTTCAAGGCTTCAACCTCTCATTTAGTCTTCTTTTCTTTTTCAAAACCAAGTAGATGATAAAACTATTAAAACAATTCATTATTAAGTAATTAGGTATGAAGGCTGATGATATATATTTTTTAACTCTTTTTTCAACTCACACTAAATAGGTCGACCCACAATATTTCCTCTCATTTTCCAATTGTTTGTGAATGTTTTTACTCCGAACAGAATAATATTTTGGAGCGTAAATTTACTTTAAATTTAATAAAAAATTCAATCCAATTCAATTCTACGTATCAAATTTGAATAAAAAGTATAATTTGTAGCTTCATGAGCCTCGTCAGTGGGGCTTGAATTACCTAGTAGTCCATGGTCTTGATTTATCAATTCTTCAAGTTGTATGTGGGTGTGCATAGGGAGTTTCTAAATACACCCAAAGTTTCAATCAGCAACCCAGCTTCAACAGTTGATCATTTTTCTTGCGGCCTTAGCTGAGGATTAAGCACACATAATATATATATATATATATATATATTTTTTTTTTTCTTTTTCTTTTTGGTGACCAACACACCTAATACTTAAGTATGTAGAAAATAAAATAAAACAATTGTGAAAAATAAAATAAAAGCTCTGAAAATGATTGAATGACCAATGCAAAAGGATATTCCTTTTCCTTTCGAACAAAGAAACCGTGTTGATTTGTTCAGAAAATGAGAATAGTCTCTTTATTCTAGTTAATCTATTATTTTCTCTCTCTCTCTCTCTCTCTCTCTATTTTTTAAATATAAAAAATCTATTTTAAATCAAGTTAATCTTTCTCTTATAACAATTTATTCTTAAATAATTAGGTATGAAAGTAAAAATCTCTTAGTCTAGTGATACTTCTTTTCCGACTTTGAAACATGTATCATGATGCTATATTTAGCTCTTTTTTCAAATCTATCGCTAAATGTGTCTCAAAAAAAATTTGGAAGACTTATTCTCAATCAAATTATTTGAAAACTTGTCAACTGATTCTTAAACTATGAATAAAAGTTTCTCAAAATAGAAAATCATATTATGTTTAATTATTCTTGCATGCTACAAGCTGTGTCCACGTCTGTATGTGCCTGTGTGAGAAAAAATTAAGAGGGAAAAGAAGACGGATTCAATCGCTGATTGAAGCATATGGCTACGTTGAATGTGTCAACTTGTTTCGATCAAGATTGATTTAGGACTTTGCAATGGTTATTCTTATAAGGCTAGATCAAGTGACTCAATGAAATTTCCAAAAGTTTTTTATTGTTCGTTTTACTTAGGCATTGGTAACTTACAAAATTTCAATTTTGTTGTGCTACGGAGTAACTTTTATTTGGAACATAGAACCCCTATGGAACGGGAAAGTAAGAATAAATGCTTTCAACTATTGAAACTACAAGTTTTGACGCTATTTGTAGCTTTTGTGATGGTATAATTTGATATTTCCAATCTTTTCTTCAAGGTAGAACATTTTAATTATGTTGTTGAGTGGCGGTAGTTATTCAAGCATTCCTTAAGGTGATAATTTTGGCACTCCAGAAATCACTTTTGAAATTACCTCATAGACTCTTCGTGTGTGTGGTGTGGTGGGAAAATTTGAAGTGATAAATGCATTTCTTACCAGTTCTTAATCAAATGATACTTTTTTCCAACGATGAAATATGTCTCAAGTTCGAATCTCCATATTCTTTATTGATTAAAAAAAATTATATTCTCGAATAACAACGTAGACCATTTTCCAAATTTTACACATGTTATGAATTACTAATTCAAATGCAACACTTTTTCCGGTGGTGGTTAGCAGTTACTCCACACAGAACAGTTGAAGTTTTCCTCCTCTTTTGTTCCGAAGAAAAAGAAAAAAAAACACATCTTTCTCACTAAAGAAAATCCGATGTGTCAAATGAAAAACAGATAGTTTGTTAGCCGCTATTTACTGCAGACCAGTTTAAATCAACAAACCTCCCTAGATTTTGGATACTGGTGGAGACAAACCTCCCTTGGTTCCTTGCCCTAATAAATACAAAAAGTAGATCCTAGCTTTTTGCATTGTAACCAAGACAGAATAAACATATTTTTGACTTAGCAATCATTCAAGAACGCCAAGAATGAGTGATCACAGCCACCACCAGCATCCTCCCAATGATGTTCCTCCTCGGCAGCAGCCTCCTCAAGGTTAATTATGTTTTTTTTTAACCTCTTTCCTTGTTTGTCCCTTATGGTTTCTCTTGCATTTGTATGAATATATTTGTTGGATATATAATCTTGGAATTTTCAAATCATATATATATAGGGTATGGTTTAATTTGGTTTTTGTAAATAATGAATTAGGTTATCCACCACCAAATGACGGATATCCCAACAACATTTATCCGCCGCCGCCGCCACCACCTGAAGGACATTCCAAAGACGCTCATCTGCCACCTGCATATCCCCCACAAGGAAATTCATGGGACGTTTATCCCCCACCAGGACAAGGACAAGAACAATCACGCGATGTTTATCCCCCGCAAGAAAAATCAAGCGACATTTATCCCCCACAAGAACAATCAAGCAATGTTTATCCCACACGAGGACAAGGACAAGGACAAGAGCAATCGAAGGACATTTATTCCCCACAAGCACAAGGACAAGAACAATCGAGGGGCATTTATCCCCCCCAAGGACAAGGACAAGAACAATCAAGTGACTTTTATCCCCCACAAGCACAAGGAAAAGAACAATCGAGGGACGTGTATTCCCCACAAGGACAAGGACAAGGACATTCTCCACATCGTGGGTATCCTCCTCCGGGCTATCCTCCTCAAGGTTCTCCACCTCCTGGATATCCTCCTCAAGGTTATCCTTATCCTCCCCAAGGCTATCCTCCCCCGGGCTATCCTCCTCCCGGATATCCTCCCCATGGATTTCCTCCTCCTGGATATCCCCCACATTACCATCCACCGCCTCCCCATCATCAACCAAATCCTAGTACCAGTAGCATGGGTTGTCTAAATGGCTGGTACGTTATGCCCTTTCTTATTTTCTTTCTTTCTCTATGTGCATTTACATTATGTCCTAAAATCTTAACTCTTCTCCTCCCTCACTTCCTGATTTATGCAAGCTCATAGGCTCTTGACCCATATTATATTTAGGATTAGGATGCTTTAAGTTTGGTTTTTAAAAATAAAATATTTATATAAAAAAAAAAAATTGGTACGAGTCAATTCAATTTTGAGCTATCGCATAAAAACAATTAGGAAAAAAAAATAAAATCAATTTTTAGGTTTGATAGCTTGGTGTTTTTTTGTGGAGACTTGGGGATGTTGTCATTTGGCATGAAAAAAGCTTCTCCAAAAAAAATGGAGAAACTAAGCTAAGACTGTTGTTTTTGGTTGAGACTTATGGTAGCATGTTTGTCAAAATGTCATTCTTTTATGTCATATGATAAGCTAAGAATGATTTGACCATTTCAATTTGGGACATTGGCTTTTAAATTGGGGTGTGAGATGCCGTACGTTTTCATTTGATGCAATATACAAATGAGTTTTTTAATAAATATAATGGTTTTTGTTTTTACAGGGAAGCCAAAGGGGATATGGAGTTCGTGCTTTGGCCATTTGGCTTTTATGTAGTGATCTTATTTTTTTAATTAGGAAATTTTGATTTCTATTAAGGAAACGTATGAAGTGGTCTTTAATTTTTTTTTACGACATTTCTTATTGAGATGGGTGATAATATACTAAACTCACACATACTACAAGGATGTTAGGACTCGAACCCAAAACCTTACATGGGGGAACAATTGCTCCAAACCACTATACTAATGAGTCCTTTACGAAGTGATCTTGATTATTAAGTTAGTGCATTCTCTAATTAATTTGGTTTCAATTTGATGAATGGTGCAGTATGGCTGCACTCTGCTGTTGCTGTATGTTGGATTGCTTATGGGGCGGAATATGATTGAAGTCTTATTTGAGCGGATGCCATACAAAAGTTTCCCTACCTTATAGCCTCACACAAAAACATATGATGATAGCGAAGAATGGAGTGCTATGAATTGTAAATATTAATTAGGAGATTTGTTACTCATAGTCGACTTATCGGGTGTAATTAGGGTTTAAATTACTTTTTTTTATTAGTACGACAATGTAATCTTATATATTTTCTTGCATGAAGAGAAAACACGGTATCAGAAATTGAGAAAAACACGTATAAGAAATTACTCAAATTGATTGTTTCACATGGTATCAGAATAAATATCTTAGGCTTGGATCTTATCTCTTATTACCCCTACCTTAAATACCTATCATCGTTTTAATTGCGAATATTAAACATGAATCTTTCACTGGTCCTGTCGGTATCAAACTGAATGGCACCAATTATTTCCTTTCGTCCCAAGTCAAGATTGAGAAGGACTTCCTCAACTCGACACCACATACCCAAATTACAACTTGCGAAGTGCAAATGTAGCATGCATGAAATTGCCACTTTAGCAGTAGCCTATATAGCAGGAGGATGTTGATGTTTTCTAAGTTTTACGCTATTTCTCCAGTGAGGATTGGTGTTGAAATTCTTAACTAATTCTTAATATAAAATACTTAACGGAATATTTCCCGTGATGAAAAATAAGAAGTAGTCGGGCGATACTTATGTTAAATGACTCTTTTTGGTTCAAACTTATGTAAATGACTCTAAAGATTACTTAATTCGATGATGAATTAACCCATCTTATGTTGTGAACAAAGAACTTAAAAGAAGTTCTCTTATTTCTAATAATTCAAATTTATTTATAAAGTGATGCTAAAATTTTTTAAAAAAATTAACACTATGAGTCAGTGACTCATATAGTGCATACTTTAAATTGGAAAAATTAACTGGTTACTTTATACCGCACTAATTGAACATGTTTAGTTTATCAAAATCGAGTTATTGAATTTGAAATTAAACAGATTTATTTATTGTTTGTGTGAACCCATGTCAAATAATTGTCTATCTACACGAACTTCAATTCGTGTCAAATAATGATTTATTTAAACCCTTTTCAATTTGTGACTGTTAATATATTATCAAATTTACACCTAATTTAATTTTCACATTCACTGTAAAAATAAATTACTTTTATTTCTTTTTTTAATAAGATAAAAAACATGCGCTAACAAGGTCCAGTCCAATGAAAAATGGCTTTACTTGCATACCAGTGTGTGTGAAAAAACCTTGGTATTCTATAATTTATCGTAGTTAAGTCTATTATTTGTATTAAACTAATAATAATAAATAAAAGAAGGCGGCAAGTTACTTAGTGCAGGTTAGTTTAAACAAACCTTCCTTGAATTTGAATATTGGTAGTAACAAACCTCTCTTTGTTCCATGCCCAAACAAAAAACAAAAAACAAAAATAAAAACAACTCCGACGTCGCATTCAACCTTTGCTGCCTTCTTATCCTTATTTTATTTCATTAGAAAAAAGACCAAACAACGTACTTAAAACGAATCCCCCGCTCCCACATCCAGCCTGTCTCTCTCTGACTCCCCACCCATTAATAACTTCTCTCAACTCTTCCATAACTTCTCTCAACTCCTCCACAACAAGCACAAGAAAAAAAGAAAGAAAAAGGATCAGATCTTTTCTGAGTTTCTGGGCTTAATTTGCTACAGCAATCCATCAAGAACACCACCAAGAATGAGCTATTACAACCAGCAACAGCCTCCTGTTGGTGTTCCTCCACCTCAAGGTAAGCAAGCAAGTCACATCTTCTTTTCCTAATAATTTTTGTTTTTCTTGATTTTGTTCAGATCTATGTAAAAGCATGAAGAATTTAATATGAGTTTTGTTCTGATTTTGGGTTTTAATTCACTTTTGTGGTTTTAAATTGTAATGGAATAGGTTATCCACCGGAAGGATATCCCAAGGATGCTTATCCACCACCTGGATATCCCCCTCAGGGATATCCTCAACAGGGATACCCTCCACCTCAGGGCTACCCCCAACAGTACCCTCCTCCCTATGCCCCTCAGTATGCCCAGCCTCCCCCTCAACAACAAAGCGGTAGCACTGGCTGCTTGGAGGGCTGGTATGTAATTCCGTCCTCTCTTTCTACCTTTTTTGAATACAAATGATAATTGAATTTGAATGAAAAGGGACGGGCTCATTGCCCTAACTATTCCGCCTAATCTGCTTATTTCTGTAAAATTTGTGAAACTGAGTTGGGTGTTGACTCAGATCTAGGTTTATCTGAGTTGGTCTAGCTGAGTTTGGCGCGAGTCAACTCGGTCGTTCAGACTTAACAGTCAAACATGTTTTGCACGTTTCCCTAGAAAGATAGGTTCACATGAATAGTCTTGGCCTGTAGCCAGGATTTTTTTATTCCCAAAATTACCCTTTTCATGCCACCGGAGCCGGGGGGGAATTTATTTAATTTTGATTTGTCTTCCTCTCTTGTCGATGTGTTTAAGGTCGTACAAACGACAACAATTGTTCGATTTTTAAGAGGCGTTGTCAGATTTGTTTTTTCAATTGCATGAAATGCTGCAGTTTGGCTGCTCTGTGCTGTTGCTGCCTGCTGGATGCTTGCTTTTGAAGGGAGCTGTGGATCAAACATGAAATTGAAGCCCACTTGATTGGATGGCGCACAAAATTTAATTCCCTTATTGGGTTGTCAAATTTATCTATCTGTTACATTTGTTTGTGTAGTTTTTGTTTTTCATTTTTATTTGACAGTTTATTTTCATAAATAATATGAACTTCTAATTGAAAAGGTCACATTGGTTCTTTCTTGCATTTTCTTATGTGCTATATTATGTTATTATCAAAATGTGATGAAAATGTTTCTTTTGGGTTGGAGGCATTGGGGATGAAGGCAAAAGTAGTGGGAGATTTTGAGGTTCTTTGTGGTGGAAGTACATTCGGACAAAGATGCTTGCCTCCTTCCCTGTAAGGAGATATTACTCCTTCCTGTGAAGTTCGATACATATGCAAAAATAATTCGTAAAAAATACAAAAAGAAAAACTTATGCACACATGTCACACTGCTATTGGTATGACTGTAAAAGCTCATAGTTACATGGTAAGGGGGGAAGTATTTTACTTTGGACAACTATATGATTTTGGAAGCTTTTAGGTCCCGTTTGGTTCATGGGGAAGGAGGCTTGGGGATGGAAAATCAATTGCTTTCCCATGCTTAGTAAGTCCAGACATGGAAAATGGTTGCCTGGCATATGAGAAAATAGGGGCGAAAGTGAAGTCCTCCTTCCAACTTGAATTTTGGCTTTGTTGGGTTGTTTGAGGTGTAGGGTTGGATTTTGTCCTTTGGGATCATAAAAAGCTGGAGGAATATTACCTCCGAGCTGGGAAAAGCTTGTATTTTTTGGTTTCAGGAGGTTGGCATGGAATCTTACATCAAATCAAAGACATCTGAAGAATTAAAAAAAGGAAAAAGAGGGAGCAAAGCCAGAGTGGCAAGTTGGCAAATTTGTAAACTAGACTACAAAAGCTATAACCTGTAAATTGGAGAAAAGCTTATACTAAACTAGAAAAGCTATTTCCATAGTGGCAAGTTGGCAAATTTGTAATACCACGATTGGGTGTTTTGGGGTGGAATTTTGGTTCAATTGAAGCAATTGATCAAGAATTAGTTCGACAAAAACAAGTCTATTTGTAAAAGAGTTAAAAAAAATGAAGCTAATTTGTCAGCAAACAGATATGAAGGATATGTTGAAACTATATGCTTTGTCATCCAACAATAACTAGAATTGTTCAAGAGGTAACAACCCATAAGAAGGTGTATGTCAAATATATTTCCTTTCACGCATGGGGTGGCACCACAGTGAAAAAGTGGATCAAACTCTCCCCTCCCCCAAGTGCATTCAGATTCGATTCACATAGGAGATAATCTTGAGGCAATCCAATATATTTCCTTCTAGACCTTTAGGATTAAGTTATGTCAGGTCCAAACATGACTCTGCCCCTCGTGAGGGAGGGTAGATAGAAGGGGTTAGGACTAAGATCGGTCGATGCCTCCATCTTTTTCAGTGTGGTTCAAAACTTTCCTTTCTCATTTCAAAAATAACAAATAAAAATATTTCCTTCTTTTCCTAGACACTCAAGAGGTAAAAATTCTAACAAAAATAGACATTGAAGAGGTAAAAATCTAACAAAAATACACATTCATGGGGCTGAGTTGATTCAGATGCCAAGTAATATATCCACGGAAGGATTCATATATTCGTGTATATTGCAATTGAGTTGTATTATGTTGCGTATGGGTCTTGTCATTTCTGGTTTGTGATGACTTCGCACTAACATGGCATGTTTGAGCTTATCCTAAATGTTAGCAAGAGAACCAACTAAATGTTATATCTTTTAATTGGAAATTTATGATTAATACTCATTCTAAAAAAAAACCAACTAAATGTTAGCAAGAGAAAAAAAAAACTGTAGTTTTCCAAGAATAAACATCATACCATATATGAAGAAATGAAAAGAATAATAGTTTCTTGTTTCCTCAACCATAACTCACTAATGGATTCATTTTAGATAGTTTGTTTATGCCTCCTAACAATGCACATGATTTACATGTGACTCTATTGTAACATTAAATTACATGAATTACCGTAACATTAAACTACATGAAATGGACTGAAACAATTAAAATTATATGGATCAAATTGAAAACAAGATCAAGCTAGGAACCAAAATTGTTGTTTCCCACCGCTCCCCTCGCACCATTTTTTTCTTCTTCTCAAAGGGTAATAATACAAGTTAGGTAATTAAGCGAAAGCTCAGACGAATTATTCAATGGCTCATAAAAACACACCTTATTTGTAATTTATGCATGTATAATATAACTATATTCATATTTAGGGGTTTAACGTTTAGAGCTTAGGGTTTAAGATTTATAATTTAGGGTTTAGGTTGTAATATTTAGAATATGTAGTTTAAGGGTCAGGATTTAGGGTTTCCATCAAAATTGGTCTTTCCTTAATTCTTAACTCTAAACCCTAATCCTATCTATGAACCCTAAACCTTAAACTCTAAACCCTAACGGTATTTCAAATATCATGTATTGAAATAACTCTAAGTTTAACGGTATTTTAAATTGCACGTATCCAAATAAGTTTCAAGTTCGAATCTCCATCCTTTGATTAAAAAAAAAAAATCGTATGGAAAAGTTTCGAATGCCCTAATTTTCGTGCAATAGGCAAACCTCTCTGGACCCCACATGCGTGTACCCTTGTAATACATGTCACCAGGATAGTTAAGTTGAACGGAAATTCAACGTTACTTTTGCCCAGCAAGGCTCGAAACAGATTTTTCGTGTCGATCCGCAAAAAATCCCAGGTGGACAGGAGAGAGCGCCAGAGGGCAACCATGCCTTCACCTTCCCCGACCTCGAACTGAATTTCAAATCTCAGAGCCCAAAACACCAAATTAAAAAAAAAAACAAACCGCAAATCAAAATTAAATGAAAACCCGATAAAAATAGACCACGACGACGAAGAAATTTTAAATCATTCACCGTCACTTTGGCTTATCGGGTAATTTTCCTTTCCTGATTACTTTTTTTTTTCTTTCGAGCATTTTTTATAAATATTTTACAGGGAAATGGAATTGTATTGGATTTCCCTTTTGGTTATTAATTGTTAGGGATTTTAGGGTTACTGGGTTGTATGAAATGGAGTTTCAGGTTCAGCACTTGAATTTTCCCAGTGGAGGATTTTAGGGTTGAGTTTTTTCTTTTTTGAATTATGTATGAAGGATTCGGTTTTTTCATGATGATATTACGCATTTAAATTATGAAATTATTGTTTTCATTTTCGAAAATTATAGATAACTGTTGTTTGCACATTTGAGTGCTGCCGAGTAGAGGTAAACTTTACTGAACTGAGAGTAAAATGGATGCTAATTGTCAATAAAAGAGTCTTATAGGACATCCCTGTGAGCTTAAAACAGCTCATAATGAATCCAGTTATATGAAATTGAACAAAAAGAAAAAGAAACTGAAAGTAGAACAATGGATGAAATCCAGTTATAGGACTCCTTCTTTGTTTTATATTTCTTCACACAATTTCAAATTGTTGCATTTCAAATCTAGATCCTTATGCAAACTATGTTTAAGGGTTTTATTGCAAAACTCAGTAGCTGAAATTTTTTACTCAGTTATCTTAGTCCCTGTAGAATTTTACATTGATTTTCTGTTTTGATTATAAATATTGAGTGTTGTTAGTTAGTTTTAATAATCTACTGATTTTTGAAGTTTGTGCTTGAGTGCACGTTCTAATCTAGACCACTAATCTGCAGATTGATTCTCTGGTGGAGTTTTTTGTTCTACTCTTTATGGGTGCTCCAAAGCAGAAATGGACAGCAGAAGAAGAAGCAGCCCTTAAAGCTGGAGTTGTTAAACATGGGGCAGGAAAGTGGCGAACCATACTTAAAGATCCAGAATATAGTGGCGTCCTGTATTCTCGTTCAAATGTAGATCTTAAGGTAGGGTTCTTTTAACACTACTACTTGTTAAGAAGTATCGTTAATTTCTTTCGCCCTGACCATCAATAGGTTTAGCCAGTGCATTTATAGTTTTCATGATATCTGATATGAGGTTTGGCGATACTTTGATCAATTCTTTATAGATTATTAAATTGACGGTTTTGCTGGACTATGCTTCAGTAAATAGTTTATAATTTTTTTGTTTTGATGGTGGGTAGGATAAGTGGAGAAATATGAGTGTCATGGCAAATGGATGGGGCTCCCGAGAGAAGGCTAAGACAGCAGTTAGAAGAATGCATCCGGTCCCTAAACAGGAAGAAAACTCTATGGCTCTCAGTACTGTTGTTCAAAGCGATGAAGATGTCATGGATGCTAAGCCTATTGCATTTTCCAGTGATACACAGCAAACTTCTGGTCCAAAAAGATCCATTGTGAGGTTAGACAGTTTTATTGTATTTCGTGTTTTTCTTTTTAAACTATGCTGTATGTTTGAGAGTTAATTTCTGTTCATGCTTGGAGGCTGGACAATCTTATCACGGAAGCTATAACTAGCTTGAAGGAGCCTGGTGGTTCTAATAAAACGACTATTGCAGCATATATAGAGGTAGCCTTCTATGTCCAACAAACAAAATCTGTGGTATTTTGAATTGACTTGCTATTTCTATGACACATTCCACTTCAATCCTGTCATACAATTGATTGATTGTATAAATATTTCATGAAGTTGAGAAACTTCACAACGTAAGTGAGAGGTTGAGATGACAGTGATGTGTTTCAGTGTGCTCAGTCAGCTAAGGTTTTCATAGTGAATCATTTTAAAGGAGTTTAGTGTATTTTGTTTTTGATACTTGAGTTCAAGTTGCATTTTCGGTCATAAGGGGCTTTTGGAATATATGCCATCCTAACTGCTGTTCTAGAAAGGATCAGGGTTCCATAAAAAACAATTACTAGCCGCAGTAGATAAAAAGAAAAGAAAGGAATACATATATTAAGAAGATAACGCCCTGGAATCTGCTCTTCATTGCCCCTTGCAGGGGAGGCTCTGTAAAATACAGAGACATCCTTGATTAAACACATAACTTTTTGGGGTGCGGACATTTAGCTTTAAATTGTTTCCATTACTCTTTGTTTTTTATTCTTTCATTCTTTGTATGTTCTTTCTGATTCCTTGAGGACATTTTTCTCCTTCTTTTTTCTTTGAGGGATTCTAGAAAAAAGTATCGAATGGTGAATGTAATTAACCCGAATAGCCATTGATTGATTGGTTTTGGAGATTGACAGTTTTCAGTCA